CTTTTCCTCTCCCCCCCCCCCGCCCTCCCCCCCCTTCCGCCCCTCTTCTTTTTAGATCGCTCCGGAATAGAAAATGTCAATTCTGTGGAGGCACTTCAGGAAACACTAATCCGTGCATTAAGGACCTTAATCATGAAAAATCACCCAAATGAAGCCTCTATTTTCACAAAACTTCTTTTGAAATTACCTGACTTGCGTTCCTTAAACAACATGCACTCTGAAGAACTCTTGGCCTTTAAAGTTCACCCGTAGGCCTTTAGGTCTCATTTGTACTTGGACTTGCCTCGTGTTAAACTGTTTTGTGCTAAAATATGTATTTATACAGTTGTACCACTTGTTGGAGAGAGAGAGTTCACAGACTGTGAACAATCGATAGCTGTCCCATAACCATGCAATAACGCTTCAGCAGGTGCTTTCAGCTAACAGCGGCACAGCATTCAGAGTCCTCCAAGACGTCCACACCCAGCTGTGCCACACTTCTGCAGAAGAGGTTGCGATGAGCCGGAGTAAATATGGACTGTTCTTTCATTTAGAAAAAATAACCACCACTGCCCTCTCATGTAAACTGAACGCAAAATAGCTGTGTATGTGCATACAGAGCATGGAATGGGGTGGGAACAATCCTGCGCTAATAGGAAAATGGAAGAGCTGTTTTAACTGGTCTTTCACTTATCTAATAGATGTATGTCAGTGTCTCTTGATAACTCACTCATGGTTTCACTGTTGTTATTCCATTAAACCTGATGGAATGATTTCAGCCTGCACCAACTCTTCACTGAGCGTGTGTTCATGCCATGTGTATATAATATAAATAGTTACGTAATGAGTGTTTATGGCTATATAAAGTACAGAGTTGTGTGTATATATGTGTATGTATATAAATAGTTCTATACATAAAGTATACATATAATTTCTTCACAATATTTTAAACTGTGAAGGAATTTAAACTTACAACAGAAGGTGATCTATGGAAAGAACCAAATAGATGCACTTTGCATATTGCTGAACTAATTATCTGAGCATTTCTAATTTTTAGAAAACATCAAATTTGCATTACTATGCTGTGTTTGTTAATTTAAAAAAAAAAAAAAAAAAAAAAAGGAAACAGAGTGGCACCAAAGGGGCAGAGTCAGATTCAGCTTCCAGAAGGGGTTCGTAGAGAATCTCAAGTGGAGATGGTTGGTTGTGGCACTAATGAGATTGATTGTCAGTTGCCACTGAGGTTCTTACATTCTGATAAAGGTTAAAGAAGCACTAGATGCTCTTCAAAAACTTCAGCACAGCCAGAAAGAAACTATCAGATTAATAACAGCATCTATAAGAAAAAAAAAGTGGGAAAAATGTATCCATGGTAGCGTTTGGGTGTATGTGTGTTCTGTGACCGTTTATTTCTTGCAATACATCATTTTGCTGCTTCATTGCTAAACAAGAATTGAAAACAGAAATGTGAGATTCCCCATGTCTTTTCACAATCTGGGCTTTGTGGTTCCTATGCCTGTTCTTCTGGAGCTCTCCATTGGTGTGTGTGCATGTGGGTGTGTGTGTATGTGCAGAGAAGGTGCACTGGATGGTCTGGATTTTTTTCTTAAAAAAACACCACAAAACCCAAACAAACAAATGGGACTTTTTTTGTTGTTTATGCCAGTAGCAAATTACAAAGCAGATCCTCAAGGCTTAAGATTCTGCTGTTTTTTCCATGTAGGAAAGCGGCTCTCTATGGGTTTTCTCCATTTGTAGCAGGACCTGGCACCAGAAAAGAGAGATTAAAAGAAGTCAAAGCAGTTGCGTTAATTAGTTACGTTTATGTTTTGCTAATGTGGGAAGAAGATGCTCCATTAACCTTGTGTTTAGTTAACTTACCTTGGAGGTAGCTCTCTGGGTCTCTAGCATTTGGTAACACTACTCTGTGGAGGGAGAGACCTCTCGGTTTGTTACTGCATTTTGATGTATGCAGTAGTTTGAGGCCAGGAGCCAGCAAGCCGCCAGACTGCAGAGCTGCTCCTTGCCGTGCCGAAGCATCTCTTGCACAGCGGCGCGTCCATGGGCGCTGGCGTGTGCCTGCCGCTGAGCATCAGGAGCCAAGCAGGGGAGGGGAGGCTTGCACCCTGCCATGGCTCCAGTCACCTATGGGCTGGGGATTTCCCCTCGGAAAGTGGTCAGGAGCGCGGGCCAGGGGGCCGAGCAGGAGGGGGCAGGTGCTCGAGTAAGAGCTGGGGGAAATGTGGTGTTAGCCTTGGCTAAGGAGCAGCAGAGCCCACCCTTTCCCCTGCGCTGCAGCTGCTGCAGGGAGAGTTGTCCTCCTGCTTCAAGCTACTTTAGCCGCTGGGTAACGGCCCCTTGATACACACAATTTTGCTATCCAGATGTGCTATCGGGGCATAGTGTCCTAATTTCTGTTAACAGTCTGCATCTTACCAGTATTATTTGTTTGAGAGCTTCACTGAATTACGCATTGAACCATTCAAACTTTAGAAAGGACAGTCACATGTTTTGTATTATTTAGGAGCTGAAATGACTTCTCTGTAAATGTGGAAAGTACGGTTAACCCTTGGTTGTTTTGGGAGGGAAGGAGGCTTCTTGCAGAGATTGCCACCCTACAACTATGTTTTGTTGTGTTTTGTTTTATTTTGTTTTTCTTCTTAAAACTGTATTATTAAGCCTTTAGGAATGTATAACCAGGACTGAGTAATTACTGCTTATTAAATTTTTAGTTAGATTGACCATGTATGCCTATAGATAGATATTCTAACTTGTGCAATTTCATTTGAAATAATCTTCCTGTACATAATGGAAAAACTCATATAACAGAAAAAAAAGCCCCAAACAGATTGACTGAACAAAAAAGTTGATTAAAGTACGGTTCAAAAGTGACCCACGTATTATAAACTCTAGCTGGACTCTTAGAAGAAAATCTAAACTCATCGTGTTAGCTGTGTATTGTGAGCTCTTCTTTTACTGTGTCACTGGTTATACACTTGTTAAACGCTGAGATAATAGACTTCATGCCAGGCATTTGAGTACTGTAGATTGGGTCATTGCTGAAAGATTAATGTACTGTATGACTTAAATGAAATCTTTATTCTTGATTTTATTCTTGATTTTGTTCTTGTTTTAAAAGATTAAATATGGGCATTATGTCAGCAAGCTAAACTGTGTTTCTGTGTTCTTTGTATTTTTCTGTACGAAATCTGGAGGGGAGGATAGCACGCTGAGATGAACAATGCAGAAGTAACGGATGAGAACATCAGCTGCTGTAAGGTCACAGGGGCTGCGCCGCTGCACAGTGGCTGGGAGCCCACATCTCGGTCCGCCTGAGATACTGGTCCATCTTGCCAGGTGGTTGGATGGGGGCATATGAAGGCCAAAGATCTGTTTGGTTTTTCCCAGCTTGATTTCCTAGTCTGAAGAGTTTACTGTTTTAGGAGATAAGAGAGGCTTCTCCAGGAAATACTGTATCTATCGGTGTTTAAAAAAAACCCCAAATTAAAACAGAAACAAAATTATGACTGCCGGCACTGGAAAAAATAACAGCACAAAAAGGCTTTCTTTTTTCTTGGCATGTGTTCTCTGGTGGCATGTTTGCATATGGCTTTCCTTGTTGCCACCAAGTCTGAGCCCCTGTGAGTGGGGCCGTGAGCCACGGAGGTCCCAGGGCCTGGGAGGTCCTTGGGAAGAGCTCTTTCCAGCTTTCACCAGGATGCTCCAGATGGGCCATGAGTAATTTTTCCCTGTTTGGCTATAAGAGCCTTACCACAGCAAATGAGGGGGATGGGAGGGACACTTCCCAGTAAAAACATGACTCCCTTCCCTGCTCTGCCACCCTCCCAGTTTGGCAAGATGCTCTGGGGTTGGGGACATGAAGTGTTTGCGCTTGTTCATGGGAAACTTGCTGGGCTTGGAGTCGGCAGCGCCGACTCAAGTGTGAATGTGCCCCCAGCAGCCTGCCCCGTCGCATGTCCTCACTCCACGAGGAAATGGTGAATGTCACAAGGAAAACAAAGGTATGAGCATTGCTGTGTGAAAGTAGAAACTGATGAGGGTGTGGGCAGCCAGCTACCTCCTGCTCGGGCCTGTGACCCATGCATGGGCTGTGTGTGGGGTGGGAGGGAATCAGCATTTGCAACTGAACCGCAGAGCTCTTTGATTACAGAAACAGTTTGTACAAGGAAATAATTGGCACTTCCTTTTCTTTGATGAGTACAGCGAACAGCTGCCAGAGCCTTCATCAGCAAATACCTTTTTTTTTTTTCTTTCAATTTTTTTTTTAAGGTTGAAGTTTGGAGCGGGCAGGGGGGAACATCCAGGTAGGGGGAGAGCCTGGACACAGCCACCCCTGACAGCCAACAGAGCTGCAACGGGCAGCTTGGAAAAAACATTGCGGAGGCTGTGCTTGCTGGGCAGGAAAGTTGGTCAAGGACACAGCCACGTTGCCAGCGAGAGAGAGCAGCTGAGCAGGCGTGCGTGGAGGCTGCAAGGCTGCACATTTCTGGTTATCAGGAACAAACAGGTCCATCCACGCCAATAAAGCTTCCTTCCGTGCAGACACTGCTCTGCCGTGCCAGGCCCCTTCACAGAGGAGTTTATACTTGCTGCAAACGTACCCCCTAGCACTTCTGTTTTAAGGCAGAGCATGCAATGATAGAGAGCTGAACTCTGCTGTCTCCTATAACTACAGAAACAAACCACTCCTGCCTGTCCTGAATCCCTAAGGCAGGCTGCGTGGTTATCGATGATGGTTGCTCCCCTGCATTGCTCTCTGGGAGAGCCTTTGCCTTTGGATGGAGGAGGACCTCGGGGTTACTTATAAAGCTACATGCTTAAAACTGGGAGGAGTATCTCCTTGAAGGGCCCTTCTTTCTGCACATCGCCCTATACCTCAGCTTAAGAAGATTGTGGCTTGAATTATTTCGTGCAACAGCATCGAGTGCTACTTATATAAGGTGGTATAAAGGCAAATGCGACATGTTAAAAGCCCATCTGGCCCAGAAATTGCAGCTCAAAATGAAGCAAATCTAGAGAGGCCTGCTGGATTACTGCTGTACAACAGCTCTTCTCCATCATGTGTGATGCTCTGTAGACCTCATGCAGGCAGCACGGGAGGCTAGATAATTGCTGCCTTGGTTTTCATGTACTTAATGCAGATACTCAAAGCTGCATGATGCATAAGCAGTGGTGACGGTTTATAAAATGAGGCTGACACTAATGCCCACTTTTATGCCACTTTTGCAGGTTCGGCTGCCAACACACAGCTGAAGATTGCCTCTGACCTAGGCTGGAGACTGACTCAGTTCCCACGTAGTCCTGGAATATGGGAGGATCTTGAGGAGAACCTCAGGTACCCCTCGGTCCTCTTCCCTCTGCTCCTTTGGCCCAAATGCAGGTGCAGAAGCCCCGGGAAGCAGCCCAGGTCTGTGCACAGATGTGACATCCTGATAGCTGACTTCTCTTCGGCACAATACTCCGGGATAGAGAAAACACATGGATAAATGGCCACCTAACATGTGCGCCTGAGTCCCCAGTGGCAGATGACGCAAATTATTTAACAATGCTGCATTTCCACGATGTCTAAACTAGTACCTCTTAGCCTGGCTTATGGTGCAGAGATCAGTCCACGCTGCATGGAGGATTTTTTTCTTTTCACCTTTTTATCCTTGCCCAATAGTAACCTCTCTGGCCTCTTCTCATGCTGCTTAATGGGGTGTGTGGCTTGGCAGCCCTATTTCCTACTGTGCAGTGTGCATTTGCCCTCTGCATGCCCATGCACAGGCTTCCCCTTGTTGCTAGTTTGGCGCGGGGCCAAACTGACCCCCTGACATCTGCAGGGGAGCATCTGTCTTCTTAGTCCCTTTATAAGAGTATAAGCAAAACTGCTGGGTTAATGCATCAGAAAACAAATGCTGGTTCTTACATGTCACAAGGGGAATTTAGTCATAATTATTTACAGTCATTTGCCCTGTGCCTCACAGACGAGCTGTGCTAAAATAATGAGGTATCAGGAAACCCAGTTCTGTCACTCAGTGGCTGATTTCTTTTCATTTATCTGCACACAGCGAATGCTGTGATAAACCTGGGTGTAAAAGTACCATTTTTCTTATAGGTGCTTCACCATAGGAGAGGTTTCTCCACTGCTTTCTAAGACAAAAAGTGGGGTGTCACTTTTTAACTTCACTGTAAACAAAACTTTCTGGGTAGCTAACTTCATGTAAGCTCTGCCTGGGGTTGTTCTTGCATAGGGGCTTTGTGTGAACATAGGTGGGCTGAATTAAAGCACTGCTGCGAATAGCCAGAAGGATCGCCTGCCAGCGATACCAGGAATTACCTGGCACCTGCAGCAAAAAATTCCTTGGCATAAAGGAGCAGGCTGCGGGCTCAGCCTTAGCTCCTGCACTGGAGGGCTGTCAGCCTCCCCTGGCTGCCCCATGGCACCACAGCTCCTGGGTCACGCTCAGACCGTACGTCTGGCCCTGAAAAGCCTCCTGATGCACTGAAGCCAAGACAAGAGAGTGTCACATTCAGAGGGTTGGAGGAGAAGGCAAACATGGGATGGGTGGGGATAATAAGGCTAGGTGACTACATCCACAGCTAGTAATTATTTTCAAATCATGGAGAAGGTCCCTGTGTTTGCTCCTTCCCACCTGCCAGGTTTCTGCAGGTCCGTAACCAGGTCAGGATCTTTAAAAATAGTTCTAGAGCTGGAGAGCAAAGTGCTTGCAGGCTCTGATGTCCACGCTATACTTGTCTGTGGTGTGGCTCTCCAGTTGTGGCTTGGCCTCCAAACATGCTCAGCACAAACCCTGGGTGGCTGCTGCAGAAAGCATTTGCTTTGCCTCTTTACCCATCTTACCCCCAAAATGGCCAGAAACAGTGCTGTTGGAGCTAAGTTTGCCTTAGTGCTGCAACAGTTTCCTTGTTTAGTTCTAACATTTCATTAGAAATAGAATAAATAAAACTACGAGACCCCCAGAACCAGAGCACAGCTTTGTCTGCCTCTTCGCATATGTCTGCAGACATGCATGTGTGCCCTCGCCATCACGTAGTTACTGATAGCAATGACTGCCTCTTGGCTCACAGACTGGCGTAATTTAGGCTCAGTTGCTAGTTCAGCCCAGTGACCTAACTACAGTACTTTGCACTTTACAAACCATCTCATGTCCACCAACGGCTGAGGCTTCCGTGGAGGAGAGATCAACCTTAGCCTGGTCCTGCTGGGGTGCAGCCGTGTTTCCGTGCCAGTGCTCTCCCAGTCCAACACGTGTGCATTTGTGCACGCTCAGGCTTGGCAGTCCCGTGGCCGGCTCAGGGATGGGAAGGTGCCCTCCGGAGTGTGCATCACCACCTGAGGCAGCAGCGGCAGCGCCTCGGAGCCCGCGGTGCTGCCCTGGCTGGCCAGGCTCGCGGTGGGAAGACCTGAACAAGGGCGACCACACAGCCGTGGGTCACATTCCTGGTGTTGTTGCAGCTGTGGCCTAAAATGATAAACCGGTCTAGTAAAGGCGAGACCTAGAGAGGAACGGCTGGGGTTTCATCTCTACTCTGTTCTTTACTCGCTATGTGCTCTTGGACACGTCACGTACCCTTGCTCTGCCTGAGCTTCCCTTGCTGCATAACACAGCACTGACCACATGTCAATACCACGGGCTTTCGTTCAACGATGTTAGCTGACTGCTGGGAGAGCCCTGACAGCAGCCTTTGTGTTTCCCAAAGTGCTGAAGAGCTGCCACGTATTAGCAAGGGACCTTCCTGCACTGGAACTTAAACGAGTGGCTACCAGGGTGGGTTTTGTCTTCTCTGGAGAGTGTTAAAAGATATAAAAGAGTGCAAGACTCCAGTGCTTCAACTCATTAATACACTAGGACTTTACTAAAGTCTAAAAGGAGTACCTTGAAGGGCAATGGTGTTCCTCATATCTGAAGAAAGTCTAATAACAGTAAGAACAACATTTAAAAAGGATTGCATAATGTCGTTAACTTCACCTTAAACCTAGTCTTACAGTTACCAATGGACCATATGGGTTCACACCTCCCTTGAATGAGTCATGGACAGTGTGTTTCCTTCATGTTTCCTCTTGATACAGGTATGACCACAGCCTCCTCTGTGCTGAGAATAGTTTCAACATGAAGGTCTGGCTCAATGTCCAAGTTCTAGCTTTG